TGTGAAGAACCGCAATAAACTTTTTATTGACAATGGCAAATTAGCGAATCTCGAACTAAGTTATTTTGTAAGTGTCTACTCAATTTACTTAGTTTTGCATGCTGAAGGGGATTTTCTTGTTGAGCCATATAGTCCATATAGATTCGCGCGGCAATTCGATTTTTATCAAGTTCCTCCACAGGAACTCGGGGCAGATGTTCGTTCAACAAATTATGACTTGAGTCGAATACTCAGGCGCACTGCCATTCACAGTAAAACAGAGTCAAAGGTATTTTTTCCTAGCTATCCCTTGAATGCTAGCAAGCACACATCTTCAGGCTTTCAAATATGGTGGTCTATGGTGCATGATGATCATCTCCTCAAAGGGCGTGATACTTTGATTAAGAGTGTTCAATCAAATGGGGAGCAGAAGAAGTCAAAAGGGAAGGAATTTACAAACCTGAACAACCCTTCCAAGGTTGGTAATAGTCTTGAGATAAAGCAAAAGACTGTGAGAAGTGAGAAGGAAATGTTAAAGAATTCAAACAACAAGGCAACTACCCCTGAAGACCTTACTCCTAATGATGAATTTTTGAAGGGTACTTCATTTCATCTTCCTTTAAACATTGTGAAGCTATTGATCATGATTCTTACAATTCACATGAGAAGAAGAGGAGCAAGCCTTTTGATGAGGAGAATGAGCGATCCACTAGCACGGACCAGCATTAGAAGCGCAAGAAGTTCAAGGTAATGATTCTCCCTTTGGATGATATTGGTTTAGATCCTAAAGAACTCTTTAAAGACATTCCGGATATATCTGTGCCTGGTATAAGCCGTGCCAATATTATAAGGACCCTCCTTGCCTTCTTCAATTTAGCATTTGAAATTTGTTTGTTAATTTCATATTCATGATTTGTCTCATAACGTTTTCCCTACAGTTGAATGATCAAGACTTGATCTTTATTGATGATGGAGAACCAAGCCAAGTATCAGTTAAAGGACCTACTGTATTTGAACTTCTAGCCAAACAAGTGGTCAGCTCTACCCAACAAAAGGGTGCTAGTGAGAGTCCCAAAATGGCAGTAGAGGATGAAAATGTGATTCAACAAATCACGCCACAGAAGACGGAACATATGACTCCATCGGCCAAAAAGAAACTCAAAGTTTTCGATCCTCCATCGTGGCCAAGAGAACCACAAGTGTCTGAATTTTGCCCCCAAAGTGTGATCTCAACATGCCGTCGAGACTATATCCAAATGTTGTGAAATAACTTGAAGGTGATGATATCTCAAACAGCCTTGGAACGTATATCTGCTCTTGAAATGAAAGCCAACGACATCATGGAGGAAATGCAAAGCTTCAATGCCACAAATATCTCAAATTTGCAAGGCCTTTTAAAGGCTTTCTTTGCAAATGCAGCTCGTTACGTTATAGTGAAATCTTCCCTCTCAAATAAAATTTCAGTTGAATCATATGATGAGTTGCTTTCTACGGCCACCCAACATCTTAGAGATGCTTAGAGTAAGGAGAAACAACAAGCGGAGAAGATCTCAACGCACATGTTGAAACTTAAGGAGATTGATCGCAAGAAAGTAGAGTTGAGGAAGCGACTTGAGTTCTTGGATACTCACAGGAAGGAGACGCTTTCACTGTTACGAGAAGAGCAAGATGAGCTTACCCGAGTGCAAGGCGTGATGGTTGACTTACAAAATGAAGTTCAAAAGATTGAGAATTCCCCGCCCCTACTTGTTGAGAAGAGTCAAACTTTGGACAAGATACAAGCATTACTTGAAAACAACCAAAATGAGCTGTCGTCATTTGAATTCTAGGAATAGTTGTCATCTTTTATTTTGTTTCAAATTTCATCTTTTGTTAATTGCTCAAAGCGTATAGCTATGAGTACAAGCACTTCATAATGAAACTTGATTTTTTTTCTTTTCATCACATTCTTGCAGACGTCCTCGTCTTTACTTGCTCTTTCGATAGCCACTATTTTAAACTATCAACCGTAGTATGAACAATTTCATCTTTGCATAATTTTGATCACACTTGAAAAGGTAATTATCCAAATAATTTGGTAATCTGAATAATACACTTTCAAGTATATGTCACAAAATAATTCGAATTGTCCTAAAGATGAACGTTCATTTTCTTTTTTTTTTTATCAAATGAATCATCCGGGTAAAGACTTTAGTTTTATAGGGTTGTAGCTGAATTTAGAAGTTGCCCTCTAAGCTGCCTACGTATCCCAAAAGAGAATCAAGTCACACGTAGTTCCTACCATTCACAGTTTAAACTCTTGCGGGTCAGGAGTATCCTTTTGTTTACCACCTTAAATTTGGTGGAATGTTTCAGCAGTTTAACCACGTGCTACACTATTAGCAGTTGTTGTCCACAGTTTTAGCTCATGCGGGTCTGGAGCAACAGGCAGTTTAGATTCATGCGTCATGGAGTATTTCATTTTTTTATGGCATGTATAACTTCATGAATTTTTCATTTATAGGACCAACTTTTACGCCATCTTTGTCCACCAGTTTATACGCGCCATTTGTGTAGACTTTTCGAACAACATATGACCCATCCCATTTGGAGACGAGTTTGTCTTTAGTGCGATAAGTCATAACTATTGACCTTCAAACGGCAAGTACCATGTCCCCAATTTGAAAGGAGCGGCGCCGAACTTTCTTATTAAAAACTCTAGAGAGACGGGCTTGATAGCATTCGAGATTTTGTTGGGCCTCCAATCTCTTTTCATCTAAAGCTTCCAATTCTTCAAGGCGCAGGTGAACATTTTCTTCCTCCGTGAGCCCTTCTTGAATAGCAATTCTCAAAGAAGGAATTTGTTGGTCAAGGGGCAGGACAGCTTCTACACCATAGACTAAGGCATATGGTGTGGCTTGCGTTGGAGTTCGATACGTGGTGCGGTAAGTCCAAAGAACTTCGCCTATTCTTTCGTGCCAATCTTTTTTTGATTTGGCCACCACTTTTTTCAACAAGTTACACAAAGTTTTGTTTAATGTCTCTGTGAGACCATTGGCGGGGGCATTATACATGGACGACCTGCGTTACTTGAAATTAAATTTCTCACACAACTTATCCATCAAACCATTGGAGAAGGATTTTTCATTATCAGTGATAATGTACTGGGGAACTCCGTAACGGTAAATAATATTCACACGAATAAAATTCCCCACATCTTCCTTTCTAACTTGCTTGAGCGGTATGGCTTCAACCCATTTAGAAAAGTAGTCGGTCGCAGCCAATATATATAAATGTTGACCTGACGACTTTAATAATGGCCCCACAACATCAAGGCCCCAAGCATCGAAAGCCCAAGAAGCAACGGTCGAGTGTAACGGCTCAGGTGGTTGATGAATGTAATTTGTATGAAACTGACAAGTTTGACATCTTTGAGCATATTCTATGCAATCTTTGACCATAGTAGGCCAATAATAACCCATCCTTTTAATCCGAAAATGTAACTTGGGACCAGATTGGTGAGCTCCGCATATTCCAGAATGTGCCTCGTGCATTACCCGATATGCCTCGTCTTCGCTCAAACAATACACCTTCAAATGATTTTCGGTACAGTGTATCCTTGTACAAGACAAAACGAGGAGCACGACGACGGATGTCAGTTCTCCTACGTTGCTCTTCAGATAATTTTTGATATTTGAGATAATCAATGAGGGGTTGTCTCTAATCTTCTTTGTCAATTTCATAGGTTGAGACCACATGAGCGTCGCTTCCTTCAATATCTTCATCATCAATTAGTGATGGAACTATCCACTTTTGGCATACATGAACTTGTATCTCATGATCCGGCATGGCAAGTGAAGAGGCTAGCCCAGCTAATGCATCAGCTTGATTATTTTCTCTTCTAGGAACCTGTTTAATGCTTGCATCTCCAAGCCGCCTCATAAGTCACGTTGCATATTTGTGATACGGAATTAACTCGGACTTTTTGACATCATAACATCCCAAAAATTGGTTAACTACTAATTGAGAGTCACCATAGATTTAAATGCCCAGCTGTTCCATGTCAACAGCTATTTCAAGTCCGAGTATGAGAGATTGGTACTCAGCGACATTGTTTGAATGATGTTGACTGAGAGTAAAAGAGTATAGCAATATCCCTCCATCAGGAGTTACGAACACAATTCTCGCTCTAACCCCATGACGATGAGCAGCACCATCAAAATACATTTTTCATGGTGGGCGAATCTCAATAAGGAATACATTCTCATCTAGTAGGTCATCACTTAACTCCCATTCAGCAGGTATCGGGTGATCAGCAAGAAAATCCGTCAGAATTTGTCCTTTCACAGCTTTTTGAGGCACATAAATAATCTCAAACTGTTGTAGCTAAGGATACCATCTAGCCAAACGGTCGGATAATACTGGCTTGCTCATCACATACTTTATGGGATTCGCCCTGGAAATGACCTTATACTATGTGCTTGAAAGTAATGTTTTAACTTCTGTATTGCAAAAATAAGAGCTAAATACAACTTTTTAATCGGCGAGTAGTTTAGCTCGTTAGGGGTCATTATTCTGCTTAAATAATAAAGGGCAACCTCTTTTCCTTCATTATTTTCTTGTGCAAGCAATGCCCCCACTGAGCGTTCTTGGACAGCAATATAAAGAAATAATAGCTTTCCATGAATAGGTGCAGCCAAAACAAGTACTTTCATAAGATAAGACTTAATGCTATTGAATGCATTACTGCATGCCTCATCCCATTGAAATGGCACATCCTTCTTCATCAAACGACTAAATGGTTGACACCTTCCTACCAAATTTGAGATAAATTTCCGCAGATAAGCTAATCGCCCTTGAAGACTTTTTAATTCATGAATGTCACGAGATTCAGGCATCCTTAATATGGCATCAATTTTGGCCTGATCAATCTCAATACCTCGATGGCGAACCATAAAATCAAGAAATTTCCCCGACATGACTCCAAATGCACACTTGAGAGGGTTCATTTTGAGTTAATACCTTCTCAACCGATCAAAAACTTATCTCAAATCCTCCAAGTGATTACTTCTTTTCTTTGATTTAACGACTAAATCATCCACATAACACTCGATATTTTTATGAAGTATGTCGTCAAAGATGCTTTGCATTGCTCTTTGATATGTGGATCCAACATTTTTGAGACCAAAGGACATTACTTTATAATAATAAATACCTTTATGAGTACAAAATGCAGTGAGCTCTTCATCCTCCGGTGCCAATAGAATTTGATTATATCCAGAAGAGTTATCCATAAATGACAGAACTTCATGCCCAGTAGTTGCATCAATCAGGAGCTCGGTGATTGGTAAAGAAAAGTCATCTTTGGGACAAGTATTGTTAAGATCTCTAAAATCGACGCAGATGCGGATTTGTCCATTCTTCTTTCGCACAGGCACGATACTCAAAATGCATGTGGGATATTTAACTTCACGAATAAATCCGGATTCAATAAGTTTATTGACTTCAATTTCGATTAATGGAATCAAATCGGATCTAAACCGCCGTTGTGCTTGCTTCACAGGTCGAACTCTCTTTTTAACAACCAAATGGTGGACGGCTACTTTTGGGTCTAAACCCGGCATTTCCTTATAAGTCCATGCAAAAATATCTTGATACTCCCGAAAACGTTCAATGTATGCCTTCTCTTCGTCAAGGTTCAATAAAGCACTTATGTATATTGGACGCGGGTCCTCTGAAGTACCAAGATTGATTTCCTTTAGATCATCCACAGTGACCTTAACACCTTCTTCCAATTCAAGTGGAGCGTCTTCAACATCTTCTTCTTCTTCAGGAGAGTCACCGTCAATTAGGGTTATATGATTGCATGAAGCAATGCTCTCTTCATCATCCTCTTTTGGTCTTGTGTATACCACGGTATGCTCCCTGACCCTCAACTCAATCCCACACTTTATGAGGACATCAGAAGAGGACAATCAGAAGATTCTTCAAGGGAATGATGCTACCAAATTTATGAGGACAATTAGAAGATTCTTCAAGATTTTGCAATGACTTTGCCATTTTTCCTTTACTCTTATGAGAGTTTTGAGGCTTTTGTTTTCTTTGCTGTCTTAACCTCTTAAAAACAGATACCCGCGGAACTTTATTTTCCTTTTTGTGAAAAGTTTAAAATTTATCGGTTATTTAAAAAGACTCATCCTCCACAGCAATATATTGGCTGCTAGTTCTATTGATCTTGATGCGGATTGGTGTAGGAGAGGAATAGTCAAGATCAAATTTGAAATTTTCAACGGCATATCCTTTTTCTTTCAACATCTTTTGGGTAGGATTCAACCCATGCATCATGTCACTAGTAGATTGACGGGATGGAACATTTAACACAGCAGTTTCTTTGAGATCGTATCCAGTCTTAGCGAGAAACTTATAAGCAATGGGATCAAAACTTTCTTTGGTTCTTGACTTTGGTATGGTATCTTGTTCGACTTCAAATTCTTTACTTAAAAGGTTAGACCTTTTAAGTGGAGGAAATGATGCCTTTTTTATATCAAGATAAATTACCGAAAGTGTCAAACCTTTTAGAGGTTCATGCTAAATTGCAGGTGACTGTCCCTGTTTTATTCTTGACTTGGGAGGGTAGCAAAAGACAACTGATTCATTGTTTGGTAATGAAACATCAGTTTCTTCATGAACTTCCTCTTTTGATTTCGAATTTATCGCTTTCTCCCCTTTTGCACTCGGAGATTTGGGGTTCTGGATTTTATCCACTGATAGAGGTTACTCAGACTTATCCTTCGCATTGTGCCTTTTGATGTAAAATTTGGCATCAGCGATATATACTCCCGCCTCAGTGAAAGGATTATCATCGGCTTTCACACTTCTTGCCACCCCATTTTGACAGTACTTGAAACATTGATGAAGGGTTGATGGTACAACTCCATTTTCATGAATCCAGGGCCTTCCCAGTAGTACATTATATGTTGTCTTAGCATCTATTACATATAACAACGCTCTGAATGACATGTCATCAATGACTATCTCCAAATTTAGTGATCCAAGAACTCTTTGCCCTCCTTGATTAAAACCTTGAATCATCAGTTGGCTGTTGAAGAGTTCATCAACCGGGATGCCGAGCTCCTTCAAAGTCTTTAAAGGAAGAATATTGATTACAGAACCTCCATCTATTAAAATTCTATTCACTTTTTACTCATTTGCATAACCGGTCACAAACAAAGGGCGGTTATGCAGTGTTGACCCAAACAACAAGTCTTCACTAGTGAAAGTGATACTTGTGACGTTCACCTCTTCATTGCCGATAGGCACACGACCCTCTTCATTGCTGGTAGGCACACGGGTTTTCTCACAAAGAGATTCGCCAGTATTATCTTTTTGTTCTTTGACATGATCTACTCGCGTTGTGTGACTTGTGACCACATCAACATCAAAGAATTCTCTTGGCATGAATTCTTTTAGAGTAATAGGAGTTCGCAACTTTTGCTTGTAGATTCGACTTCCTTGAAGATTACGACAGCTATTGTTTCTCTTTACATCCTTCTCTTTCCCCTTTCAGATTACCAAGTTTCTTGTTAAGGCCTTGTTTGCCTTACTAGATGGATGGGAATGTCACCTCCTTCTTCGCTTGACTAAAGTCCACCCTTCATCATCCATGTCGGGTTGTAATGCCTTCCCATCTTCATATGCATGTTCTTGAAGAATTAAAGGAGCACATTCTTGTTCGATTTCTAAGGGATCCAATGAACCAAATTGAATTGTTAGCAATGCAGGTACCTTGACCTTTTTAACTTCTATGGACTGCAGAAAATCAATGGACGTTTGATTCACACTTGCCTTGTCTTCTTCAAGGAGAATTTTCCCTTGTCTCGCCAACTCCATTACTTTGTCTTTGAAGACAAAGCATTTCTGAATGGGATGCCCAATCAGTCGGTGATACTTACAATAATTTGGATCGTCAGTATTTCTGGCCTCATCCGGTCGCTTCATCTCAGGAAGCGTGATCAAATTTATATTTAACAGATCTTCAAACATGCCAGGGACATCAGAATCGAGGAAAGGGTATTCCTTGTCTTGCATCTCCTTGAGAGTCGATTTTCTCTTTTCTTGCTCTTGATGCGCATTGATTGTCGCACCCCATTTTTTATGAGAAAAATAAAAGACGAGTTTAAAAAAATGGCTTTTGATTCAATTTTTTTGATTGAAAATGAATTTTTTGATTTAAAAAGAAGATGAAAAACATGGGTCTAAATGGGACTTGAAAATGCGATGATTTGACCCAAAATATAGTTTAAAAAGGATTTTTTGAATGAAAAATGGAGTCGCCACTTGGTATAGAGTTAAAGTGTACCAAGTCACCTAAAAATGAATTTTTAAAGAAAAAAAGTAGAAAACCCTTTTTAAACGACTCCAAGTCTACGAAAATCAGAGAAAAAGATTCGGGAGTCACATTTGAAGAAAGGGAAGGCAAGGATAAGAATCCAAGGGCACCCTTTCAACCTAACCAAGGCTAGTTGCGCGATTTAGTCAAAGATTTTCTTATTTTAATCTAAAAATTTATCACATTTGAATGTACTATATGAATGCAAACCCTAAACCTAAGAGGGTATCGAGGGGTCGAAGTTTCTCTTCAAAGCTCAATTGGTGCCAATCACATTAATTGTGATGCCCAATATGGACTCTTTGGAGAGGTCACGAATAATGCAAAAAAATGTGAGACTCTAAGAAAAGAAAAGGAAAATAATTATACAAATATACGTGGGCTAAAGGAATGCATCATGTCGGGTACGGGGGACTAATGTTCGTGACTCAATTTTCCCTTTAATAGAGGGAATACGAGCGTGCTAAGGCTAGAAAAGCCAAACTCGTCCATATCCCATACTTAAGGGGTCTTTCCCAATCTAATCAAGCAAATGCACTACCCTAATTCTATTTCTTAAATGAAATGCAAGTCTAATGTTATGTTTCCATACAAAGGGGAAAGGAATATACATATAAGGGAAAATATGAGGGAATGAATATCTGTATAAGGAGGGATGTCATGCAAAAAATGATAAAAGACCCTAAAAAGTGCATGAGATGAAATGTTTATTCACACAATCATGCTCTAACGCTCGAAGGGTTCCTAAGAGTCTAGCATTGGACTAGCCCATATCTATGAATTCCTATTAGCATTGGACTAGTGGAAAATCGGAACAATGAGCCACAACTAGCGTTGGACTAGTGTGGATTCGGGAAAGGGGGCCACAACTAGCGTTGGACTAGTGTGGTGACGTCATACATTCATTGTAATTAAATAGATCATGTAAAGCATAATAAAGCAAATAAACACATAAAATCACATATAGCACATAACATATAAGCATGGTATCTAGATGCAAGACCCTAAGAAAGCAAGTAACACGTAGCACATAAGCATGCCAGCACACAAGGCAAATAAAGCAAATAAAACTCTAACTATTACATACGGGGGGCCCTACTACAATCTAAGAGGGGAAACGGAATAAAATAAATAAAATAATAACCTAGCAATTACAACTTTGGCATTCAAGTGCCTTTCAAATGATTAAAATTGAACTAAAAATAAATATACAAACTAAAGCCAACAAAGAAAATAAATGAAATAAATAAATAAATAATAATAATAACATTTAAGAGGCATGCAATTAAACACGTAAAATTACATAGTGCACGTAGGGTCAAATAAAGTAAGAAATAGAGATAGAGTGTACCTCCCTGGAGATGGGGCCCTAATGGAGTGAAATCACTTATTTACCCTCCAAAATAATAAAAGAGTCAAGGCAGCGCTTTAATTGAGAAAAATAAAGAAAATATACAAACACGGGCACAATTGATCATAAAGCCCTTAAAATTATGAATTAAATGCAGTTTAAATAAAGTATGATGGCTAGTTGAAGCAAACAAGCAATAGAGTTGCGAAATTAAAACTGCCTAGGACTAAATCGCAAATATCTGAAGAAGTTTAGGGCCTAATCAGAGTTGTATGAAAATGTAGAGGTCAAATTGCAATTTTTCAGATTTGTTCATGCATGCATGCAAAAGCTTTCGGTCAAAGCTGGAATTTCCTTTGCTTATGCGAGTTTCTACTACAACTTTACAGTTAGTGAACAACCCGGAGAGATGGCAATCATCATTGACACAAGGTTAAATGTGCCAACAAAGTGATGAAACCCAATTTGTGAACTATTGAGGGAATCAAGACATGAGAGCTAACGCAGCTTCATGCAAAAATAACATGAGGAAAGTTCCTGCAATTTGGAAAAATGTAGCCTGCTGCAATTTGTTTTCAAGCTCATGTTCCAGACGATTTTGATCAAACCATTTCATCCAAACACCCAAACTTTGAGCTAAGCCTCAAACCAAATAACCTCGTCATCCAACAAACAAACAAAAAAAACTTTGAAGAAAATTATGCAAAATCTTAGGAAACTTTCATGCAAAATTTACGGATGAAACTGCTGCAACATTTAGAATCTAAATTGTGCAAAGTAGATCCTTGACATCCAATATCCTTTTAACATGAGATCTAAATCACCTATCTCAACAAGATGAGATGAGAATGTGAACTAACATCCAGCCAAAAAAAAAAAAGGGAAAAAAACAATTCAACCAAATGATATAAAAATTTCTGAATTACTTCGACCCAAAACCAAATCATGAAACGAATGAGAGAATGGAACACAAGACTTGCGGCTCCAAAAACCGATAGACTTTATACGTGAGTTCCCCATCAAAAGATTCAAAACACAACTTTAAGTATAACCAAAGAAATGCACGGAAAGCTGTAGAAAGAACAGGGAAGCTTCAAAACTTCAGGTTCTTTTCGAAATTCTGATGAAGGACAAAAAAGATTCTAACACAAGCAGCATACTCACACCCACATATTGAACACAAAGTGAGAGGAGCGGGAGAGGCTGCACATTCAGAAAGAAACTACACCTAGAGCTACTGTCAATGAGCACACAACTTCAGCCAAGGTTTCAAAATGCAGCAAAAACATTATTAACCTTTGCCGGAAAAAATCAAACCAAACCTTCAATGAAACTTGCTAAACGCAGACCACGAAAACAAAAATACTAGGACAAGAACATGCGAGTCTGGTCTGATTGACAACAAAAGAAAGAAGGAAAAGAGAATAAAAAAAAATTGTGCAGCAAGTTCGCACCTTCTGCTGCTAATTTTGCAGCTTATTTCACTTGGACAACTATTCAAATGAAAACCTATCCATCAAACTCACACAAATTCCCCAAGTTCTTATCCCCAAAAATCCAAGCGTGGTAGTCTACCTCTAGCTACCCCAACAGAAATGATCCGGAATTCATAAAGCAGCAGGAGACACTAGAGATTACGTGCATCAGGAAGACAATACAGACATCAATAGCTTCAAGATGCAATTGAATGTAAAAATGCAGCAGGGGCATGAAGACATTCGCGGTAACATGCCTACAGTACTCTATCATGGCAACCGAACATCAAAGAAAGCACATACTTCAAACAACCAACAACTCCAGTATGAACCAAGCATGATCTCCACTTTTCACCATAAAACCTTAGATGTTAACACATGAAAATCCGAAGGAAAACTATGCAACTTTAGCAAATTTCTGAAGCTTATCTGATGCTTTGCCGTTTAGCCAACTCATGCGACAGCAACAAATTTTAACAGCAAAGCAACAAGGATTCAACCTCCAAGTTTGTCATCAAGAAAAGAGAATCTGAACTGGGGAAAGCTTACCCAGATTTGTTCATGTCATTCTTACAAATTTCTGAGTCTTTATCTAGCCCGCGGTATGTCAGGTTCAACAAACAACTTGGAGCAGAAAACTTTCCAAACAACATTAAACACCAGATTTCATTTTTCTCAGGACAAATTTAAACAACAAATTTTATAACGGAAAAAACAAACCCACTGGCTGCTATAGCGAACAAAAACAGCAAAGAAAGACTCGGGTAACAAAAAACAGCCATGAATATTAGTGCAAGCTTTCGAATGGAATGGGATTTAAAGTTACCAAGGAGTGAAAATGACGTGACTGTAATATCAGCCCTAGCATATTACCATTCTTAAACCATCAAAAATCAAATTTTTCAGAGCATCAGATGTCACCAAAGAGAAAACCTACGGACTACATCCATTTCATTTTTGAGGAAGGAAAACGCAAAGCTGATGGCTTTTAAGTTCTCAACCGCACCAGTTAAAAAACACACGCAGCTACTTACAATCAGAAAAATGAAATCTTTAATGAACATGAGACGTAAAGCGAAGGAAAATGAACAATGAAACAGCAAACTTCACTAGCAAAGTCATGAAATACATGCTTTGAAGGCTTCAAGGGTCTGCGTTTGAAGAGATTCTGGAATTTAAAAAAGGACACTACTTACAATAATGGTGTTTTCTTTCGGTGAAGATGATGATGGTCAGGGGGGCT